ACCCCCACCTTCCCTCTAAGATTCGTCATTCTGTTCCATGTTTCTATGTCACTGAATCGATTTTGTTCATCAGTTTATGATGTTGTTTAGATTCCACATAGAGGTGAGATCATGTGATATTTGTCTTTCTCTGGCTGGCTTATTTCACTTAGCATAATATTCCTTCCACATTGTCCCAAAGGGTACAAGATCCTTCTTTATGGCTGCGTAGTATTCCATGGTGTAAATGTCCCACAGTTTTTTTATCCACTCATCTACTGATGGGCACTTATGTGGTGTCTTATTTTGTGTATTTTTTTTAGTTTGTTAGCTGAAATATGTTGTAAAATAGAAAAAGTTAAGCTGCTTTTCTTAGACCTTAATAATAACAAGACTAAATAGGTTTAGAGTGAGGATCTGGGAAAGGGCTTCTGCTATGAGTGGGTAACTGAGCTGGAGTGGACTATCTTGGTGGCCACTGCTTTGGAGTAATGCAAGGTGTAGTTAGCGGTCCTGAGCCTTATTCCTGATCTACCATAAACTGTTATATGCACGCCTCTTCTTTAGTTCTCAGTTATCCACCTAATGAAACAAGGGTTTGAAATAGTTGAGCTCTATGTTCTCTTCCAATTCTGGCATACTATTATTTTAATAAGTCATCATATCCATATATACAGATCCATCCGTACATACTAGAAGATGGTCAGCAGGAGTTTCAACACACAAATTGCTTCCTGCTAAAGGATATGATAAACTTCAACTTGTTTGTGGTCTATAACCATATAATACAAAATCAATTACTCATGAATAGTGATGTCTTAAGCATTAACACTTCCAGACACAGTAGTCTTCTTCCTGTAATTTAGTATTCTCAAGGTCTTTTGGTTTCTATAATGCCTGTAGCATGGACAATTTTAAGTGAAACCAAGTTAGATAGGATTAGGGTGAGACCTAATGAAGGTCTGTGATAAATAACCTCCCTCCTCATCTATTCCAGGCTTAAGGACCTTTTCGTGATGGCAGATAAAGTCACCACTTGCAGAGCCACACTATTTTAGAGAACAGGTAAGTGTGTTCCAGCTGAGACCCATGGAAAAATCTGAACCATATATACTTTTAGAAGCAGGAAAGAGAAGGCCCTGGAGCCCTGGGAATTTAGCCTGCAGCTCAGAATAGAATCCTGGAATATCAGAGCTGGGAGGGAGGGACTTTTAAGAGCTATTTCAGTTGCCCTCCTAGAGGAAACTGAGGTCTAGAGAGGGGAAGTGACTTGCTTAAGAGTAGAGAGATAATCACAAGCATTTCCTGATATCAATTTTGCTTTTGGAACTTTTCTGACCCTGGAGAAAGGAACCCACCAACTCAGAGCGTCCGTGACAAAAGACATAGACACTTTGACAAACAACTTTTCTGGCTCAAGGGCCTCTTGAAATCTTATCTTGAGTGCATGGACTGTCTCCCAGAGAGGATGTAGCTTAGTGAAAGTTCCAGCCATAACCTAAACAGAGGGGGTCACTGGCCTTGGTTAATATTTGCAGCTGCTGCTATGAACTGTAAAATTCTATAAAAATAATTTAGCTCTGAGTACAGGTGGAAGATTGAGCCCTGGCTTCTGTTTGGACTGTCCCATTTCTAGGGTCATCATATTAACATGATGTAGGGAAATACCTTATCACAGGAAGATGCAAAATTCATAATAATAGTGAACCAAGAACCACCTGGTTGGAAATTACAGACTTTTCATTTTTCTACATCTTACTATGCGCAACCATGTCCTTTCAGGCTATTGTTATTTAGGGCACTGACTCATGGAAGCATGTCCTCAGTTTGTTTTCTTTCAACTTAATTCAACAATTATTTATACACCAATTTCTGTCTGGACTATAATGTGGAGAATTTCAAAAATTACTTGTTTGTTACATGAGCTAAATATGCAAGCCCCCTGCTTCTGGGAATGTGAACTTCAGTAGGAGAATAAGGTAAGGACTCAAATGAGTATGTGTTAAGGCATTGCCAGGGTATGGTTATTGCATTGAAAAACAGGAAGTCCTGGGGGGTTAAAAAGGGAGAAAAATAGCATCCAGTTGAGGGGACTCAGAAAACGTTTAGGAAGAAGAAAATGTTCTTTGAGCTGGAGACTGAAAGGTGAGTAGGATGTAGGCTGGTAAAAATAGTAGGTGGAGGGTTGAGAGCATCCAGACAGAGGGAATCGATGGACTGAAGGTATTCAGGGTCTCAACCACCCCTCTCTTCCCACCACCACAACAGAGTTCTATTGAGGACAGAAAGCTGGAAGAGAGACCTAGGGAGGAGAAGCCAGTCTGTTCTCTATGAATTTTCTACCTTAGCAGAAACAGCACAAAACTCCTAGGTAAAACTAAAGCAGTGCAACAGAAACATTGGTGAAATTTCTGTGAGAGGACAGCTGCAGCTGCTCTCCACATATCCATAAAGTTATCAGAGTTTATAGGCAGCTACCCATTGGTTTCTCGTAGCAATGGATGGAGAAGGTAGCTTGGGAGTGATCATTCTCATTTTATAGATGAGAAACCATTCAATTCAGATGAAATGAATTAGACAAGGTCATTATTTAACAGGTGGTGGCTCCTGGTCCACAAGTGCAGCATCATGATTCCATAGCCAATGACACTCAAGCTCTTTTAA